ACAGAAGTACGTTCGACGCAGCACCTCCGAGTCGAACAGACGAGTGAGGCCTCGTACACAGCGAATTGCAACGCGGCCTAGTTGTACGTCTATGACCCTTCTGGCTCCGAGGAAAATAACTTTAGGCAGACACTGGTTGCATAATCTCTGGGCATATATAGGCCGATTTTAACTCCGCCAAACAAAGATTGGCTGCAGGTACGTCGGAGAACTCGCCTTCCGCCGTCAATCGCAAAATGGCAGACTTGTATATTGGTTGTAAACGTCTCGAATCACTACTTCGAACAGAAGAAGGTACGTTGTTGACAACTGGTAATCGTTTCAGCTGATTTTAGCACAGCCCCCAAGGCAACTCAAATTGAGAGCAACTTAACCAGTTCACAGAACGGCACATTTTCCGACAACAATGGATTGGGTGGTCCCAGTACAAATATACACAGCCAAACTAGAAGGGCTACTGTACTGTGCAAAAGGCCACCGCGAGGAGAGAATCCGAACCGCATTATAATCCAGCGCTTCCGATTTCTCCAACGTTTCTTACCCTTACGTCTGGTGAATCTATGATTTGTCAAATACTTTCCGCCCTACCTTTTTTACCTTTTTGAGCGATGCAATTTAATCCGACAGTCCATTCCCTCGCAGGCGATACGATTCAACATAATCTACTTATTACTATGTGTAAGTCTTGTCAATACTGAAACGCTAACTGACCGGCGGCGCAAACGGTTGTCCCCTTCGAGGGCAGAAGTGAGAACGTAAGCCAAGCGGCGCAAGACCTGTGAACACTGCAAAATACTTGGGCGAAATAGGCCTCGGAGAAAACAGCTTTCCTCCGCTTGTTTCTGGAACGATTTCAAATCAACGTTGCAGGCCTGATACGGGGCCTCAAAATACTACACTCTCTAAGAGGACTGAAATAAAATACCTGCTGTTTTGAACTAATTACAATAGAACCCTTGGGGCAGAGTGGCATAAGGACTACAGGTAAGCCAAACACGTACTATGCAGCCGCTACAAGTGAGAGACCATCGAGGACTCCATGCCGAGGTTCCATCAATTTTCAAGTGCTCTCGCTAATCACCTTGGTCATAGCCTGGAACTCATGCATCGAGTCCGAAACCGTGTAAGAACACCCAGACAATTTTAGCGGCTGCATGCTGGTGTTTCCAGGCACTGCCTACGGAGACTGTTCAGTTCCTTTTCTGCTGAAGTCCTATTACCATCTCGAGGGTCCGTAGTACGAAACGACTAACGATGGCAGGCAGTCATTCAAAACAGATGCAGCGCCCACATCTAAAAGAGGCCAGTTAGGAGGGGGGAGGGGTGATGGTCGAATCGGCTCAGTATGAATAATACCCACCAGTCACAGAACCAGAAAGTAAGAGAGCACGGGAGGTACAAGGTTGTC